CGAGAAAAGTTATAGAAGTTATTTAATCAAAGTTATTTCAAGAAATATGTGTGTTCCTATTTCTTTTGTCGTACATTTACACCATTATGAAGTTGAGACGTCTTCTTCATTAAGTGTCGAAAATAAAAGGGCCCTCTTTTATAAAATTCATGTGTGATTCAAAAAACCATGAAAGTTAATAAAGCATTTTATTAGACAAAAAATGCAAAAAACGGGTAAAACATAAACCCACGAATTAATTAACAAGTCCTTAAAGTATAAAGGCAAAGACGAGCAAAACAGAAGCTCAAAATAACTAAGTTAAAACAGAAAACTTCTTAATATTAAAAAAATCAGACTAAGTACGAACTTAGTCATAAACTATTTGTCATTTATATAAAAGTGCCCTGAAAAGGTCTAGGGACTTATCATTTCCAAAAAACAAAATCCCCAAATGGGACCGGGGGTTACAACCACATTCCACAAAAAAAAAGGAAAGTAACATATCATAAACTTTTCACTGAGGGGCTGGAGAAGGATCCGAAACAGGATCATTAGCAGCAGAAGGTTCGAGATGGCTTGAAGGAGTTGGAGCATTCACCGTATATCATCTTCAATGTGCTCGGGAATATCAGCCATGGGAGAAGGGAAGTCTTGATTTTGTTGAGTTTTTTCAATAGTCTCTTTTTTTTTGGCTAACTCAGCATCCAAACTAAAGCCCTCTTGGCTAACTTCCACCATGGTATTGTGGCGTGTGTTTAAAATTGCCCAACTCACTTCAATTCCAGTCTTGTCCTCAAGAATCCCGTAATCTTGTTCTAACCGGTCAATCTCGTTTTTAAGCTTTTCATTTTCAGCCAGGGCAGAATCATAAGAAGCTTGCAGAGGAGCGAGTGAACTCTCTAAAAAGCTGATCTTGTTAGAAGACTCACGAAGATCTTCTTGGGTCTGAGAAAGTGTTTGTACGAGTTCACCAGCATAAGCTTCCTTCTTGCTTAGCAAAGCCTTCAATTCTCTGATTTCTTCACTAGCTTTAGAAAGCTGCTTAGAGAAAGATGTTTCGAGGAGATTCTTCTCTTTATCAGCTTGATTTGAGGAAGCCTTCTCGATTGCTAACTCTGAGGTAAAAACCTTCAGTGCTGCTCCAAGGTACACTTACTTTCTTCTAACACTTCCATGTCAATTTGAAGACCTTCATACTGTTCTCTCCAGTTGTCCGCTTCAACTTGATAATCATGCATTAATTGCTCCGCGTAGGAAACTCTCTTCATCATCTTCGTGCCAACTAGATTGATCTAAAAAAAAGAAAAAAAAAAGTGAGAACCTTAAATAGAAGAAAGGTAAGGTAAAGTGTGAAAAAGGATACCCTTAAAGACGACTGCACTATGTCATTCATCCAAGTCAAAGAGTTGTGACTCACAAGCTTGGATTTCTCAACTAGACCAATCAGAGGCTTCAACCACACATCAGCCCCACCTGATTTCCGCAAAAGGTTACCACCGGCAGGAACCTCGATGATAACTTGCCTCATACCTTCACTTCTACTTGAGGAACCAACCTCAGTATGATGAATAATTGTAGGAGGAACTGTGGAAGGAGTCAAAACAGCCTGGGGCGGAGCAGCAACGATAACAGTCACAACTGGTAAATGAGATATCACAGGAGCAGGGATAGAAAATGAGGCAAGGGGAACTTCATCAGAAATCGGACCTAAACTTTCACTATTAAACCCACAAGCAAAAAGTTGATCAACAGAATCATGAGCAGCTGCAGGAGTGTCATCATCGGAAATCACCAAGGAGGCTTCAACAGGCTCGGTTAAAGGAACGGAACGAGGAGGAGATGCTTCATCATCTGAAATAATGCGTCTTCTAGCTCGTGGTCTTTTTATCAAAGAACTCCTGTCTTGTTCTTGTTCTTCTTCAGAATCTTGATCAGTGGAAGCCTTCATTTTCGATGAAGAACCCAAAACTATCTCTTGGGTTCTTTCCAAAGGAACTCTGGAAGCTATGACGGCCTCAACACTTATGCCTTGAATGGGAAATCCTGATAGAAAGAAGGATCAAAGTAAAATTTTAAGGAAAGAAATGAATGGAAATGCGAAGAATATGAATGAAAAAGCATTTACCGTGAGTTTTCACTTTCCAACCTAACCGATGAGAAAGGATTTTCTAAGATCTACCTTCCATAGGAGCAACACTTAACAACTTTTCTACCCAACCACGAAAATTGGGAATTTCACTAACAATTCCTATGGTTGCTGAAAAAGAAAAAGGGGTTAAAATGACAACCATCAAAATTTTAAAAAAAGGGGCATAGAAAAGTTATGAAAAGAAAACTTACGTGCAAAATTCCATTTCTCAGGAAATGGGATATTTTATTCGCCCACTAAACCAACAGTGGGGGCAACGACAAAACCTGGCATACCAGCCATGGTCCTTATCGTCCTCTGGGCTGACCAGATCTCTCTTGCTTCTCGCTACTAAAGTAAAAATTCCATGACGGAAAAGTTTGGGTGAATAAAGATGGATTAAATGGAAGAAAGTAAAAGGCAAGCCAACCATGTTGGCCAAATGCCTCAAACAAGCCACAACCCTCCACACGATAGGGCCAATTTGTCCTAAGCAAATATAAAAATAATGGCAGAATTCGATGATAACCGGGTCAATAGGGGGTTTGAAATTCAAAGTAAAAGGGTATGTATATACGAAAGAAAACCCAATCAAATAAGAAGTGATTCTTTGGTTTGCATTGGGGATTATAATGGGAAAATCATGACTCTAATGGCAATCTCTACGAACCACGGAAATCAAACCTTTAGTGATCTGAGTTGGGTAAATATCAGCACGATTTAATGAAGACATAGAAGAAACTTGGTTTCTGATAGACTCTCTATCATTGTAAAAAGATAGTTCAGTAGGAACAATATCGTCGACCTAAGGTTCACGAAGAGGTTCATTGGGCTCTTTGTTTCTAGATAAAGACCTTTGGGAAAGGGAATCTCTAGAAGGTGGAGTTGAACTCGTAGAAGGAAGAGAAGGTCCTCGAGAAGATGAAGAACCTAAACTACGAAGTCTTCCTCCTCTCCTACTTCTAATAGGAGCAAGAGGAAGGTTATCAACGATGGGGACTCTACGAGGGTTAGGGTTTGAAGAAGACATAATAGTACGAGGAAGAAGAAAACTAGAATTCAATATTCTGAACCTTTTATGAGAAAGACAAAGATGAAGCTTATATTTATACTCAGAAGCAACCGTCAAAGGAAAAGACGCAATGATAGAAACGTCATGATGAAAGCTATCGTTTCGTAATTAATGAAGCCGTAAAAAAGCCCTAAAAAGCGCTGAAAAGTCGTAGAACCAACCAGGATGTTCCACGTGTCGTGAACATTAAATGGAAGTGACATATGAAGCATCAGTTCCAGAGAAGAAATAATGGCGGCAAATATTCCCGCTTCAATGAGATCCACTTCCCAAATATTCTATTGAAGAATAAATGGCAAGTAGGGGGACTATCTGTATTGGGAAAATTAAGTTCGTGTATGGAATTAAATATGAGGTGATATATCATGACACGTGGACTAGTCGTAGAGTGACTGATTGGCAAAGGAAAAAAGGCACGAGCTTCAACAGGCGCGACATAGGAAGGACAAAAGCTCGTACCTAATGATATTCAGCAGTTATATCGGAGGAATGAACTTTTGTAGTAAAAGAGGTAGAGATACATATTATTAGCAATTAATAGGCATTAAATACAGAAAGCGTTATGGAATTTGTAAAGAATCAGTTATGATTACCAATTATTACGTTACATTAATGCCATTAATTGTGATAAAGGAGAAAAAATGTATTACTTTGAGATAGCTATAAAAGGGGGAAGATTGAACATTTGTAAGGACAAGAAAATACTATTGCAACATACTGATATATTTCGCTTTCTTCTGTTTGTTAAAATCAATTTCTTTTATTTATTATATATTTGATTATCAGTAACCCGAGTTCTTCTAAAATAAAGCTTTGACCGAAATCCCAATTTTTGGTTAAATAATACATCCACTTCTAATTCAACAATATGAAAACAAATGTATTTGGAAACATTTTCTAATTTAGAAATATAGCGTGACAATGATACTAATAAGTAGTCTCCCAAAATCGCATAGAAAAAAGGGAAAAAATAAAAAGATAGTCATATTTACGGCTAGTAATTAAAAAATATCCATAGTTTCAAAAGTAATTGAAATTTAGTAACTTCTTAATGCAAAGATGAAATATGAACAAAAACACCCTTAAAAAATCAAAAATATTCCACAATATGTTGGAGTTCGAAATTTTCACATATGAGGTTCCAACATAATATGCTGGAATTTCATAATGTGCTGGAGTTCTAACATAATATGCCGGAACTTTATACTTTATATGCATGAGCTATATAATCCAACATATTGTGCTAGAACTTTTTGTGTGTTGTATTTCTAACATAATATGCTGGAAGTTTATACACAGGAGTTTTATAATCCCGCATATTATGTTGGAACTTTCGATTTCAGCAAAACAATGACTATTTTTTAATGACTTTGGAAACTCTGGCTATTTTTTATTACCAATCCCAAAACAAGTTACCTCGTGCTATTTTCACAAAGAAAAACTATCACCAAATATATATTAAAAGGTAATATATGCTGCAACTAATTGGAAGTAAAAAATATTAATCTATAGGTTACCATACTAAATTTGTCTTCAACGTCCCACTCTCTTGATAGAGGGTTAAATAGCCAATTTACTTTGTATTTCTTACGTATGTAATACACTTTTTTTTTAGTTTATCCTAGAAAACTGATAGTATTATTTTATATTTACAATTAACTTAATTTAAATTTTTTGTGCTATATAAATATCTCTGACATATTTAAGATTAAACTCGTCTAATCAGACATCTTCACATATACCTAATCTTTAGAATTAGAAAGATAATAAAATTGTAATTAAGTGAGAAATTAGGTAAAAAAGGAAAATTGAAAGGGGGATGAGTGATGAGTGTTGACCTTCAGCGCATCGCAAGGGACACGCATGTGCTTAAGTGGTAAGCTGCTATATCCATGGCGGTGACGCAAAATGCAGATTACATACAATATAGAGAAGGAGAACAGGCGTCTCAGTTGCCTTTGGCCCTTGTTTTTGGTCCCTCCCCAACAACTGTACGAATAACCCACATGCTATCCTACTCTTGTCATTACCCGTTCGTTCATCTTTCCCTCTCAATTTCTTAAATTCTATATAATCTAATATCCAATTCGATACTCTTTTCTCTTCCTTTCTATCTAAAAGCCAAAAGGATTCTTTGGGTTCTTCTGCTCTTGCAAATGCGGCCTTCTACCTTTAGATTCTTCCAATGGCATCTGAGTCACAAGTCTTTCAGCTCTGTACGTTTTTCCTTTTTATCTTTACGGTTTCTTTTTAAATAATAGTAACTTATACTAGTAGCTTTTATGGTTTTTGTGATTTGATTTCTTTTTTGTATATTGTAAGCGCGCGCGCACACACACACAACCTTTATCATCATCTGTGTACACTTTTCTGGTAATCAATTGTTGATAGTTGCACTTTACGGAAACATATTGTGCTGTCGAATTAAATTTATCTGATTCTGGGTTACTCCTCTGTTTCATGATTCGACCTTAGGTCTTGTGTGTTTTACATAAGCTGGATATGCATAAAACACCAAAAGTAATCTCAGTACCGGACATTTGAGGAGTAGCCTCTCATTCATATTATGTTGTAAATTCTCTACTTTGGGAAAATAAATTGGACGGCTAGATATATTTTACTTCTAGTGCCTGCATCCAGGTCCTCTTGCTTGGTCTTTTAAGTTTCTGCTCCGTTTGTTTGTGCAGTTATAACTATTCCTTGAACCACGCCTCAATTGTTTACTTGCAACTGACTGATAGTTAATCTACAGGCTAGCTTTTCATCCAGAGCATCATTACTATCTACAAGCAGCAATGGTCAAAATATAACTACTAGTCATCTCAATGGGTCCTCGTCAAAGATGTATTCAACTTCATGCGAGACATTGTCCGAAGATCCACCCAAAGATAGACTTATTTCTGACATGTTGATCGATTCATTTGGAAGGCTGCACACATATTTGAGAATATCCTTGACTGAACGTTGCAATTTACGGTGCCATTACTGTATGCCAGCTGAGGGTGTAGAACTCACTCCGAGTCCTCAGCTTCTATCTCAGGATGAGATTGTTCGCTTGGCAAGTTTGTTTGTTGGCTCTGGAGTGAATAAAATTCGTTTGACTGGTGGGGAACCAACTATTAGGAAGGATATCGAAGAACTTTGCTTGCAACTATCAAGTTTGAAGGGCCTTAAAACCCTGGCTATGACTACAAATGGAATTATTCTAGGAAAAAAACTTCCAAAGCTGAAAGACTCTGGACTTAATTTGGTGAACATAAGCTTAGACACGTTGGTTCCAGCAAAATTTGAGTTTATGACTAGGCGCAAAGGGCATCAAAGAGTAATGGAGTCGATTGATGCTGCAGTAGAGCTGGGATATAATCCTGTCAAAGTAAGTTCTCTCTAGCATGATTATATTATGTTTTTCTCTCTAGAATGATGCTCCCTCCTGTGTCAACTAACTTAATTTGGGTCTTGAGGATTTGCTCTATCATGTTTTTGGTTTATTGCCAGACTTTGGTAATTTATTTATCTGTCTAAAGTTATAGACACGTGGAACTACAAGCTATCCATTTAGAATAGGGAAGCAGTTCAGAAGCAAGTATAATATCATGGTTAAAGTAGGATTTCTTTGACTTTCTGAATTGTAAAAAGCTGAAAAATGGGACTTAGGCAGCACTATCCTGTTTTGCTTCCTGATGATGCTCTTAATGCTAGTTTATGCATGAAAAATCTATAGCTTTTGCTTGAGGTTCGTCATAATTCAGATTGTACCCATGGAAATGGAACATCTTTTCGAGGACTTGATTTGAACAACAAGCTTTCTGACGAAAGCAGTTCCTCAAGTAGGCCTGACAGTCTGCTTTGTGTTTACATTATTTATGTTATCTTTTGGTGTGTGCCGTACCTCAGGTAAATTGTGTTGTAATGCGTGGATTCAATGATGATGAAATTTGTGATTTTGTTGAGTTGACACGCGAAAGGCCAATCAATGTGCGGTTTATTGAGTTTATGCCGTTTGATGGGAATGTTTGGAATGTCAAGAAGCTAGTACCTTATGCTGAAATGTTGGACAAAGTGGTATGGTAGACTTTGTCAGATGTTTCTCTTATAAGTCAGTTATGTACATTACCTAAGTCACTCAATATTACTGAACAGGGTAAAAAATTTACAGGGCTTCAGAGAATTCAAGATCATCCCACAGAGACAGCTAAGAATTTCAGGATAGATGGGCATCAAGGCTCGGTTTCATTTATTTCATCAATGACAGAGCATTTCTGTGCTGGTTGTAACAGACTGCGACTTTTAGCTGATGGAAACTTTAAAGTTTGCCTTTTTGGTCCTTCGGAGGTGAGTATCTTTGTGACTAAAATTTGTGAAAACTTGCATAGGCTGTTAAGTCCTGTTGCACATATCTTCTTTTCTCAATTAGAGCACGTCGCACCTTGTATTTTTTCCTTTGATCACAAGCCCCCGCTACTTCAACTAATACTCATAGCTCCCTTTTCCTCTTGGACAAGACATGTAATAGTGCTTTTTTCGATCTACCACTAATGGAGAAATTTACTATATTACACGTTTTTCCTGTCTTCCTACTACTCTTTTCTCTTTCACAGTTCTGACGTTTCTACTTTATTATATGTTCTTCAGCTTTATGCTACATAATCCCGTTATCAGCTCCATCCTTTTGTTTCCTCTTCTGTTCTAGCTGTTTCTATTATCCTCTTCTTTATCAGCCTGATAACTTTGGTCTAACATTTTTTTCTCACTGGTGAGTTTGCCAAGCAAGGAGGGAGAAAGTAGGAGAGAAAGAAGAAAGAATTTGCAGTGAACTCCAACAATTAGATGCGCAGGAGATGAAAGAGTAGTAGCTGGGAAGAGAAGGGAGAAATTAGTAAAGCAAACAAGAAGAGTAGAGTAATGGAGCTTGGTATAGCACTTTTACTCTGCTGCTGAATAAAACGAAGAAAAAAATAGAGGGAAAGAGTCAATAAACAAAAGAAATGAGAAACTAGGGGAGATTATATGGTTCCTTTTCACTTTTCTGCTACTAGTGGATGAGAAAACTAATAGTCTTTAGGGCAAAACTAGAGGGGAATAAAGTGTCCAAAAAATCTAAAATCCAGAAGGTTTACAGTTCTTGTCACCAAAAGCTCCACCAATGCTCCCAAGTCCTATCTTCCCAGCTCAAAGATTAAAAGAACCAAAAAAAAAAAAAAAAGGAAGACAGGAGAGAGAGAGAGAGAGAGAGAGAGAGAGAGAGAGGTAGCACTGATGCGAGATATCCATTTTGTTCTTTTGCCTATGCTATCCTTTTCTGAATTTCTTCCACTAGAATATCAACTTGTAGTTACTTGTTCAATTCCAGTCACTAGGATATCCTAGGCAGAGAAAAGGAGATAAAACATGAGGATACTGCAACAACAACAACTACCACACCTCGGTCCTAAACAAGTTGGGGTTTGCTATATGAATCCTTCACTGATCATGTTATTCTATTTAAACTTATCTCAGGCCAATATTTTATAAAACAAGAATAATAATGAAAATAAAAATAAGAAGTACTAAAAGTTCAATTTCCTTATAAAACATGAGGGTAAAGATCCATATTTGGCTATCTTGTATTCTTGTCTCATGAAATTTGTATGCTTTTGTATGCAATGAAAAGTTGGATAAAAATAAATTGCTGTAAAATTTACTCCTAGGTTCATCCTATCAACTACATGTTGTCGTCATATCTGTAGACCTCATTTCTGGTGGTAAAAGCTGCACCTTCTTCCCGCACGACTTTACTATTTTGATTATAAGTTAGTGTAATGATTCTTATTTGGTATACAATTCATCAACTATGCAGTACCTTTTCCTCATTCCTGTTCTATCTATCCCGATTGGTTGAAGAGTCTAGAAGAGGGAATTATTTGGTCAGGTGAACCAATGATATTCATATGATGTAAATGCAGCTTTGTGAAATTCCTCAATAATTTTAGTCCCATCAGTGCTTCCTAGATTCCTTTGTTTTAGGCCTTTTATTTTCGATACCTACTAATTCAATGGGAATAAATTTTCATCTAGATTAGACTGTAGCTTCATTAACTACTGAATTTTCATCGTCTCTACACCTGCTGTTGTTTGGGATTACTACTATGGCTCGACAAAACTTTGTTGTAGAAATCATAAAATGGGTGTACTTCCTTGTGTAAAAACTATTTTTCCTTTTATTTTTGTTTTCTCCAGGTGAGCTTGAGAGATCCTCTTCGTCTTGGTGAAGGTGATGATAAACTTAGGGAGATCATTGGGGCAGCGGTATGTAGCTACTAATCCATTCCAACACTATTTGTTGCTTACATCTTTTCTATTTGTGTCTTTTTCTTTTGTTCCTCATATTTTGCAGGATCATCCTGTCATCAGGGCAAGATAAACTGCCTTCCATATTGTTTTTAGCATTTAGGGTTCATTTGGCATTTACAATATTATCTACATTTGTTTTGATTCATTTGTCCTGTTTCAGGTCAAAAGGAAGAAAGCTTCTCATGCTGGGATGTTTGATATTGCAAAAACTCCAAATAGGCCGATGATACATATTGGTGGATGATGGATGGAATATATTGGGTTTCGGTGCTCTTTACTGAATTGTATGATGTATGTATGCTTTTTGTTGGTCAATTTAAGCACCTTCCCGTAATTTCTCTTCAATACTTTATTTAAAGTTTTGGTGGCCTCATTTGTTTCTTGTCACTTTTAGGTTTCCACTGCATGTTGAGGGAACACAGTTTGACTACAGTTATAGCATCTCATAAATAGTGAAATGCACCTGCATAAATTTTTCTGAATCTTAGAGATTTTGTAGTTATTTGATCCTGAACTAGATTAGTATATATCTCAACTGGCTCTTAAGAATTTGCTGTTCTTGCGGTTGTAAATATATTACTGCTTGTAAATTTGATAAGCACTCTCCTTGAGTCGATTGGTCTCAACTCAATTGGGTTATAAAAGTCTGACATTAAGACAAGAAAAATACGATTCAATATTTCCAATATCACCTTTTTCATGATCTTTACTAATGTGACCAAATTGTGGTAACTTATTGGAAATATTAGAAATGTCCTCTAAGGTGGCCTCATTTGTTTCTTGTCACTTTTAGGTTTCCACTGCATGTTGAGGGAACACAGTTTGACTACAGTTATAGCATCTCATAAATAGTGAAATGCACCTGCATAAATTTTTCTGAATCTTAGAGATTTTGTAGTTATTTGATCCTGAACTAGATTAGTATATATCTCAACTGGCTCTTAAGAATTTGCTGTTCTTGCGGTTGTAAATATATTACTGCTTGTAAATTTGATAAGCACTCTCCTTGAGTCGATTGGTCTCAACTCAATTGGGTTATAAAAGTCTGACATTAAGACAAGAAAAATACGATTCAATATTTCCAATATCACCTTTTTCATGATCCTTACTAATGTGACCAAATTGTGGTAACTTATTGGAAATATTAGAAATGTCTTTTCCTTTCTTGACCTGAACAGTGAATCATGAGATGTTTCATTGAGAGCTTTGTAAGCCTGAACCTGAGGTTTTACGTTTGCGTTTATGCTTATCCAAATCAGATAAAGATAGTTGACCATTTAGGAAATACATCAATCAATGGTTTTGGTGGATTTAATTCTTTGCTTTTGTATGAACATATTTCTTTCACAGATGTCTACATGAATAACTAGGTGAAGTATTAGAATTCTGAGGCTCATTGGGAACCTTTTGTTTGGAACCTGACCAGAGACTTCATATTCAATTTTTGTTGGAATTTTTGTAATAGGTACGTTATGTAGAAGAGCTTGCACAACTTGATTCGAAATTTACTCCCCACGGGCTCTGTTTTAGTGGTAAGAGCGCAATGCGTGATGTGTGGGTTAGACGCACGTCACGGGACAAAAGCTTAGTATTTAAGTGGAGAAGGATAGAGGGACGGACCTATTATCCCCGAGTTTCGAACCCTGTGCTACTGGCCCACGTGGATTTCTCGAATTTCTCGATTATAAAAAGAGCTTGAAGTGTATTACTATATATTACATTCGTCTTCTGGGTTGAAGTGCGAGTCAACATTTTCTATGTCTGCGATTAATAGCAATAACTGAACAAACCCGTTTACCTCGTATGTTATTTGCTTTTTGTCGGCTGCAGTGCAGGAAATTAATGAGTTCTACGGTGGTTAGTGCTACTGCATAAATGCTTTGGCTATTTTTTGTTCCAATATTAGGTCCGTATTGAGATGGGAGTAGGCCTATCAACCTGGTCTTTCGCTTGGGAAATGGGAATTTAGTTGGTGTTATTTAAGATGCTATTGGAAGAGTCTCAACCCAATTAGCTTTGTGTGCATGAAACAATTTCCAACCTGTTTTAGATTCGACGATTGCTTTGAACTTCACTTAATGCATCTGTTATGATAGTTCTCCTACAATATTAAGTCTTTGTCAGAATTATTTTATCTGCATTTACTCATTAATAATCTATTTGTTTTACTACTTATGCATCATCTATTTTGAATTTGCTCTTTCTCGTATTGAAGATCTTTCAACTTCCAACAATGATGTAGTTTTTCACTTTACTTTGCAGGTATGTGACATCAAAGACATCAGGAAAAAAGAGAAATATAGGAGCAGAAAACAGAGAGGAAGTGACCCAACAGGTGAAAATGCTCGACATAAGCAAGTAACCTAAAGTTTGGATTTTGAGGTTGTATATGTGCATGTTTGTCGTTTGAAAGCCACGAAACATAGTGAGGCATATACTAAAAGACCCGTGTATCCCTACATAATAGTGTTTTTCTTGTGTGAAATTAAGAAATTTATACGTGTGTCATTACATGTACAACTTATGAGCAAGCTGTTGTATTAATGTAATCCTTTTGAACTACATGTTAATTGTGTCTCTGTTGCTACATTTATGTAGTATTACTTAAAGAAAAAGGAAGCAGAGACATTTGTTCTCTATTGCAGATCTTGCCCAAAAAAAAAACAAAAATATTGGACGTTTCTACTTTTGTAGCAGTTGTCGTCAACAATGCAAAGTTTGGTTAAAAAGAAGGCAACATGATTGTTGCCTCTTTTTCGACAAGAATTATGCTTAATATACATATTTGGAAAAATGTTTCACATACTTTTCCTTTGGTTTATTTTGTAACATTAACCTCTCTTGTGGTTTGCGTCTTTGCAATATTATATCACTCTCCTTTCTTTAACTTGTCTTTGTAACAGCCGTTTTAATTAATCTACTCATATTAATGCAAACATTTTACAAGTTGACTACTTAACCCTTCTCTAATATTATACCCATTTAGTAATTAATTTTAAGAATATATTCCTTTTAAGAAATTAAGAATAAAAAATTAAGGCGTATGAAGGATGACGGTTGTTGTTCATCTTCAGTTTTAGTCCAAAATGGTAATTCGTATTTCGCAATAAAAGTACAGAATAGTAGCACCAGATTTTCTCTAGTTCAAGACATGTTACTACTTACTAGGTAGTATTGAATAGTAAAAACACTAGAATTTAACTAGCATTTCGCAATAAACTTATTTTGGTTGAGAACAGCAGAGAATTTCCACTGTTCTTGGACTACGTAAGTAAAATTAGTTATTAATAGGGGTGTGCATTCGATTTATCGATTCGATTTTGACCCTTATCGATAATTACTTATCGATTATCGATTTGTACGTATGCTTATCGTTATCGTTTCAATAAGGTTTCGATTTTTTCGATTTTAATTTATCGATTTTGGGGACTTATCGATTCGGTTATCGATTACACCAATAAGAAAATTTGCGGGATTCCACGGAAAGTATATCGCTATAAACGCGTCTAACTAATATGGACAAAAATAAGTTAAAATAAGACGAACACCATTTATAATATAAAAATTGTGTCAACAAGCACATGCAACAAAACTAAAGTAAGGGATCAAATGTATGCCACCAACACTCCAACGGTATAAAAGAAATAAAACAAAACAAAACACATCATCACGGCTAATTCTGTTTTCCATTAATTTGAACTTCATTCCCTTGATCATTAAATATGATCATTCCTTAAATGTGGTAGAGGAAATAATAGGGTAAGGGACTTAGGGTAAATGAAAGGGTATAGATTAGGGAAAATAATATTGTATCGCCGCTTTCAAAATAGTAGCGGAATATATATACATTCTGTATGTTATATTAATCTACACAAATAGGTAATTACTCATTTAACAAGTGTCTACAGTCTAGGGGTGTGCATTCGATTTATCGATTCGATTTTGACCCTTATCGATAATTACTTATCGATTATCGATTTGTACATATGCTTATTGTTATCGTTTTAATAAGGTTTCGATTTTTTCGATTTTGATTTCGATTTCGGTAACAAATAATCGATTCGATTTATCGATAAACCGATTCGAATGCACACCCCTAGTTATTAATTCTCCAAAATTCAGAGTTTCTACTTCCTTGTGGTGAACTTATAAATTTCACTCTTTAACTCACCAACTTCTAATTGAATTACTCTTTGTGAACGGTTGAGGTAATATATTCACCCCAAATATTCACCTAGTTTGATATTATTCCCCTTAATTAACCATCCTTCAAGTGTAACAATACGAATTATGTCGATCATGTCCTACAAGCTTTTCATGTCAAATGCAGTGCAAGAATTATATAAAACTTTTTGAAGGAAAGTGATATAATACAAAGTGACATGGCAGAAGCTTACCACTGGTAGGTATATTGACTTGATGGCATCCGCCTTTGTAATTAACTGCGATGTTTACTTAATAGATTAGTTAATCTCAAGAGTCAAGTCAACTTATATTAAATCTACTAATTTCCATCTCTATCCCTTTTGTATTATTATCTTTAAAATACCATGGAACACAAACTTGTGTAATATTTTTAAAAAGCACCGTCAAGAAGATGATGGATTCCCTCCTCAAGAGAGTCAACTTTGAGATGGCACGAGGGAGGGGTTTTACCCTCTTCTTCTCAACTTGTTGCAATTTTTTAGATTTTCTTAATTAGTATTAATTTGATGTTATCACTTCGCTAATGTGGAAGAGTAGGTGGTGTTTCCTAATTTAATCATGCTAGTTAAGTTCAGAAGGATTATATTGCAATGCCATTCTCAGATGCAGCCCCCTTTGTCATGTTTGAACGTAACCAACTAATTATATCTACTAGCTACTAGCTAGACTTGGATTAACTGGGATTATTGATTTGACTAGGTTTATACTTTATTGCTACTGATTACTACTCTTAAACGCTTAAATAAATCTTATCTTTACTATCCGAACCCCAATAAGTTAGAGCTAACTATTGGATGAGAAGAAAAATAATCGACTCTTATCAACACTTTGTAATGAGACATTTTGTTCATGGCTATATCTGGGACAAGGCATGCGACGATCCCTAGTAATACATACATACGTACGTATATATATGTATGTATATATAAGAGAAAAATAACTAAAGATAGATCGATAGAATCAAGACTTATAATCTAGTGGTATCGATAGAAATAATCTCTCATACAATAGGGTGGTTGCAATTGTATTCTCATTGTTAATGGGCAAAAAATTATTTCAAGTGTCCATTTCTTTTTACCTAATATATTTTGGTCTGATGCAAACATGACACTTATATTTCTTAGTTATGTGGTTCTTCGTTAAGACTTTAAGACTTTAAATGGAGATCATGGGGTTCCACAACAGAATTAACAATGTACACGATAATGTGTAAACAACGACTTCTTCATTTAATTTTTAACGCTTCAAGTTTTAGAGCATTTTATACCATAAAGTTAAGTGTTCCCCCCCCCCAAAAAAAAGTCAATTAGTTAAGTAAGAGCAACTTGCAGCTAAAAGCTTAAGTATATTCCAGCTAATAGCTCTACTACTTGCTATACTCTACTCCCTCCGAACGAAAATACTTGTCACGTTTTGCTTCACGAGAATTAATTCGACTAATTTTGAAGCTAAATTTGATAAGTTTAATTTAATGTTTTAAAATTAAATTTTGATATTCGAAAACTACATTCTTCTTATATCAATTTGGTGAAAAAGTATATGTTAAAAAAATAATGGTCAAAATTTATGTAATTTAATTCTCGAGAAGCGAAATGTGACAAATATTTTAAAACTAAGAGAGTTATGTATGAAAAATGAAATGAATCCACAAAACGTAAAAATGTATCTACGGATTGACATATAAACAAATAAAATTAGTTAATATCTATATTTACACGTCGAAAAGAAAACATATCTTCTTAGCCAACACAGCTACAACCTAAAAATATTGACACCCTTCTCACCAACCCTATCCCTTCTCTTGGTTGTATGAAATAGAAGAGCAAGAAATATTATGACTTGTCCTATATATCAATCGTGATAAGTTTCTTTCATTTTTAATATGGATAAATAGGGTACATTATTTTAGGATCAAAATAATTAGGTGTCACGCAGAAACTAGTAAATCAAACCTTGAATGGCGATAAATCGGACAATAAAAGAGGAATATATCAAAAGAGATACAAATATTTAATGTGGTTCGGTTAATTTGACCTACATCCACAGGCAGAGATGAGCAATCCACTATATATAAAAGAAAGTACAAAATATCGAGAGAATAACCTCACAAAGAGGCAAACACAAGTGACAGACTAACACTTGTCCCGAAATTCTCCCCCTAAACAAGACTCTCAAGCCCCTTATGGCTACATTGTTGATGCTGCTGAATGAAAAAGAAGGATCCTTAATTTATAAAAGTCCAAACCTTTTCCTCCAAGAAAAGGAACTAGCCAAATTTGGAAGAATTATATTTTCCTTTTCGTAAAAAGAAAAATCAATTACGGTAAATATGTTGCTCTTCCTGCAAAGAATAGAAAAATCAAATATGGTAAGAAAATTAGGACAAGCACTGAATTTACTGACAAAATAAACTCGATCCACCTTCTTCACATAATATTTAACAAGTCGCATCTCCGAAACTCCACCACAAAGTTTGTCTCAATGTGAGCAATGCTCTGGTCAAATTTCTCAAATAAAAATCATGATTACCATCAAATAGGTTGCGGCTAGAACTAAACCAGCCAAGATGAACCTGTCTTGAACCTCACTCTGATACCACTTGTTAGGATCGAAATAATCATGTGTCATGTGGAAGCTAGTAAATTAAAGCAAACCTTGAACGACGATAAATCATACAACAAAAGGAAAAAAATACCAAAAGAGACACAAACATTTAATGTGGTTTGGTCAATTGACCTACGTCCACGGCGGAGATGAGCAATCCACTATATAAAAGAGAGTACAAAATATTGAAAGCACAAGTGGCATGCTAATACTTATCCCGAAGTTCTCCCGTTAACCAAGATTCTCAAGCCCATTATGGCTACATTGTGGATGCTATTAAATGAAAAGGAAGGATCTTCAATTTATATAAGTCCAAACATATTCCTCCAAGAAATTAAAAGGGACTAGCAAAATATGGGAGATTTATAATTTCTTTCTAACAGAAGAAAAATACAATTATGGTAAATATATTACTTTTTCCTTCTAGAGATAAGAATACCAAATATGATGAGAAAATGAGGAGAAACTTTCACGACCCAAAATCTAACCATGGTCGTGATGGCGCCTATCGTGTTACAAGGCAAGCCTACTTCCCAAAACATTACTACTAAACCGATTTTAAGAAATTAATAAAACATCTCCAACATTAAATTTTTTTTTTCATAAACTAAATCAACTCTAAATATAATTAGAAAATATGAAAACGAGTCCCAAACATCGGGGTGTCACTAAGTCATGAGCGTCTAAAACTATGAACTAAGAAATATAATTGTCTAACGTAAGAAATGACAAGAGAAGTAACATAGTCCTGAGCAGCTGCAATCCCTGAACTACCTGCTCAGGTGTCCGGTCAGGAGGGACAGTCATCATCTAGGGCCACGAGAGGCCGAGGCTTTTAGGCCTGGCTTTACGGGACGGACCAAGTCTCAATCCCTCGCGGTGCACACCCACACGCCCGTCACCTAGCGTGGGTATCACCACCAAACAATCACATGATATCAATTTCTCCGGGTTTATACCCTCAAAGCCAGAGTTAAAATTGTTACTTACCTCAACAACGTAAAATCCTACTACGGGATGTCCTCGTCCCTCGACTCGGTCTCCAAAAGCTTCGAATCTAACCATAATCAGAATACTACTAATTTTGAAAATAGACTTGCCTTGTAACACGATAGGCGCCATCACGACCAAGGTTAGATTTTGGGTCGTGACAGAAACACCTAACACTTTCCTCGTATGCTTAGAATTACCATAGTGGTTCTAGTCTTCAATAAGAATTATATTATGTAATGCATAAGTGCTTATTTAATTTTCGCAGAAATGTCAAAGTTCACGAAAACTAAATGTACAATTTGGATAGTGATAATAATCAAAAGGAATCTCCAAACTAAGGTTCGCATAAGTCAAATGTATATAATTTGGACCGTGATGATCATTCATGGAACAACGCATATTTCCATGTACATTGCCAACCCATATATGGAATATGCGGGGAATTCCTATAGTTAAAGGTTCTTTATAGGAATAAGAAGATTTAGAAATAACAAGTTGCTTCTCTCGAAAGGTCCATAAAACCTTTACGCTAATAAATACGCAAATATATAGGTTAGTGTATTTTCACCAACATCACTATACATAATTGAGTGAAAATGCTATGCTCAATATGTAGTTCGAAGTCAATTATCAATTTGTTCTTGCTTGAAATAGACAACAAGCAATTAAAACCCTTTGCTCATGGAAGAAGTGAATACCAACACTATAGCTAGGGCAACAACAAGAGCTTTCAATATTTCGAGAAAAAAAATATAGGAGTTAAGAGAGGGCCGGGTGATCAAAAAGAAAATCAAATAATCACAAAAAGATGTTAACAATTACAAACACAAATGAAGAAACATTATATTCACATGAATGAATCTCTATACAAAATGGAGAAAACAAGATATCAATCAACATCACTCCATCCCCACTCCAAATCCAACCAAAAAAAGTGAAAAATATATATATAGGATCAAGAAGTCATATTATGGCGTCACGCAATTCCTGCACACTATTCAGTTAAGATATTAGAAAACCCTTGAATTACTTTCTCAAGAACAAATCTAAGAATTCTTCTTTTAGCAAAGGGGCACCTCACCAAACATATTAATCTGTGTAGGAAGCTTGAAAGGAAACATAGGAAATTCACTTAAATCTTGAATAAATCCCTCCATTCCAAAACCACTCAAAAAACCATTTGATGAATTTTCAACACTTCCATATGATATACCATCACTTTCTTCCTCTTTCATCCTATAATTTGTATCTTGCAACATGTTCATATGTTGATGATGCTGATGCTGATGCTGATGATGATGATCTTGTGGTGATGATTCTATGTTCTTCCTTTGTTCTTTTTTCATCTTTTTCCCTTTGACTTGTGCAGCATTCTTCCCCGTGAGCCTTTGTACAAGCTCGCGAAAATTCTCTACGTCTGTTTTGATGATCTCTGGTGCTATTATATGAATTATTCGTATTTTCGGCTTCATTTTGGTTATTGTATGTGAATCTTTATGCATGATGTGTTTAAAAATACTTGGGGTAATGGTTTCACTTGTGATTTGCTTCATCTTCTCCCTTTCAAGCAACAAAGGTTAGTTATTCAGAGAAAGGAATAATGAGAGAAAGGATGTTGGTAATGTTGGAGGAACAGTGAGAAGGTATTTAAATAGGAGCAGTACCTAAGGGTTGAAATTAGTTTGGAAAATAATTAAAGATCCAAGTTTTGCCTTTTGGAAGCAAGAATTGGACGGGATTCTCTAATTCAAGAGGATAAAATAATGTACCAAAGTACTAAATAGTATAATAATCCATGTTTTATGTGTATAATTGGGTTTCTCTTAGTTCATTTTTTTTTTTTTTAAATTTACCAACTTTTTCTTCTCTTCCTTTTCCTCCAAGAAATATAGTATTTTGAATTTATGTGTGCTGCCATGTAATTGAGCTTATGTGATGTTTACATATAACATATTAATTAATTAATCTCAAATACACTAGCTAAGATTAAATTATGCTACTTTTCATTTATACCATTTGTATTGTTTATTTTCATTACACTATGAAAGGCAAACTTCAAGAGCACCGACCGCCTGCGGCCTTTGATAGTGATCTATTATCAGAGGATTTTATCATCTTCTTATTGACTTCTTACACCTCGTTTTATAATTTTCTTACCACGCGATGTTCATAGTAATATTTTAATAACATTTTTTATCACGTTACAAACTAATGTTTATCATTAAAGTTATCTATACTTACCTTATTAATTAGTGATTTAATTTTGTAAATCTATATTATATTAAAGGAGAGTAGTATGCATTGTGGTTAAGCGAAGTGGCAAGCTAAAATAAAGCCACTTGAAAATTTTAAGACAACATTAATAATTAAGAATTATAAATGGAAACATACTTAATGGAAGTAGTTTAATAAATCTTATACATAATCCAAATAGATCTTAGACAAATCCAATCTTTATATCTATATTTATATTTATATGTATATGTGTATCTATATCTATATTTATATCTATATATTGATCCACTCATAGATTTTCTTCTATATTAGCTAGAAATATGGAGGTAAAAATTAATTTAAAAACTAGAATAGAAAAAAAATAAAAACTATAGAAAGACGTAAATTGAGATAAGCTATGACTATTTATACTTTGGAGCTATAAAATAAAACTAAAATTTACTTAAGATACTAAAGATTTATAGAGTTTAAAAATTAAATAAATTCGCAGCAAATTAAGATCTTACATAAAGTATACAAATTATTTATAAGGTAAAAACAATTAAATAATTAGTAAAAAATATTTTGTTAACAAGAATAATAAAGTCATATTAATATTGATGAATCATGCAAACGAATATTTTATACGTATAGATTACTACAACATTTAGATATAATGTGTGTGTGTGTGTGTTTGTGTGTGTGTGTGTAGATGGGATTGCATGTCGCAATGGTATTAGTATTATAAAAGTGGATCGGATTGCGCACTACAACAAGAGGCTGTGTTGTGGTTATATTTGGCTATTCATTTTTGCTACCGTATTGTGTTGTGAGACTGAGAAGTGATGATATTCCTGGGCCCTTTATCATTTATTTCATATTTCAGTTATCATGTTAGTTAATTGTTTCTCTATTCCATCATTGCTTTTCTACTTATACTCGTACTCATACAGGTTTATAGTGAGTGTCTTGTCACATTCTCGTCACTACTTTGTTGAGGTTAGACTCGGCACTTACAGAGTACATGGGATTGGTTGTACTCATACTACACTTTTACACTTCTTGTACAGATACTAGTGTAGGTCCCAGCGACATGCCTTCCAGGAGAATTGAGGTAGTGCCACACAGCGTCCGTAGACTCTGAAGTCCCCGTCCTATATATGTTACCGTTTACTTTGTATCAGACAATTTATATTATATTTCAGACTTTGTTTATAGTATTTTAGCAACTCATGTACTCGTGACACTAGTTTCTAGGATTAGACTAGACATCGATCTTTATGGATTTATTATATATTTCAGGATATTTCAGTCTTAATCTTTTATTAATGTGTTTTTAAATTGTTAAAATACTTAATTGTTTAGCTAACGTTCACTTTCCTAGCAAGCGGATGTTAGGTGCCATCACGACCCCGTGATTGGGATATTGGGTCGTGACATTCAGCATGAGTTTTTGAAGTTCGAAAGCCTATTAAATAATTAGGCTTGAAGTAAGGTGAGATTCGTAGTTTTGATGATATGTTGTGTGATCTGAGACTTAGAGTAGGTCCGTGTTATGTTGCGGACTGGTTAGTGTGATTAGATGGGGTCTCGAGGGGCTCGGGTGTGTTCCGGATGAGTTTTGGGACTAGTTGTTAGTTCTTATCATGACCTAAAACCCACTACAGGCCGTGATGGCGCCCAACGTCATCGTTAGGCAAGCCAACAGTGACCTATCACGTTAATTGTTCATTTTACTACTTTCAAAATTATAAATTTTATTAAGTAAAAAACTTTGTGCATTTAAAATTATGGTTACATAAATAATTAGTAAGGCATAAAGATAAATGGTGATAATAATATACAAATTCGTTAACATCAACTAGAATATCCCAAAACTCGGTGTCCCAAGTGCATGAGCATTTACTAAGGAGTACAATAATAATACAACATCTGTCTGCAATGTAAATTAGACAGGATAAAGTAAATAACACGATGGAGGCTCTGGGGCTGCGATACGTAGCCTGGAATATAGCTCACCATAAAGTCTCCTCAACAGTTGCGCCTACGCACCAAGATGACCACCGAATGAACCTGTCAGATCCAGCACATTTAGTGTAGAAGTNATTAGAAAATAGAATGGCAAAAATTATTTGAATTTGAGATGAGAAAGGTTTTTAAATTTTCATCTATATTATATTAGAATGAGTGTGGTAGAAATAGATATTAATTTCAAACAAGCTAATAAAAATCCACATGACAATGTAATAATATTAGTTATTGAATAATATAATATTAAAAATAAAGAATAAATAGAGAAAAAATAAAAATTCAAATTTTTTATCATAGAAAAAAGGGTAAAACTTATTTAAATTTGAGATGAGAAAGTTTTTTATATTATGATAAGAAAAGTCATAATATGGATAAATCCACATAATTCAAGTCTAATAGATAAAATCAAAAACTAAAATATTGAATAATAAAAATAAATTAGAGATAATGTGAGGAAATTTGTAAATAACAAGTTAATGAAAAGCCACATAAAACATAATAAAACTATATATTAGATTAAAAAATAGCAAAATTATGTTAAATTATTAAAAAATTACTATTAGAAATGAAAGGGAAAGACTACTTGAATTTGATATTAGAAATTTCTTAAAACTATGATGAGAATGCTCAAACTATGGAGAATACCACGAAATAAAAGTCTTATTTATGAAAAATAAATAAATAAATAAATATTTCAAAATACATAATATAGGTACTAATGAAAATTTATATTTAAATTTGTATCTTAAAACTAAAAAAGAAAAAAAAATTACGTAAAGAAATAAAATGACAGTGAAAATATTACTACAAAATTTAGATATAATGTGTTCAAAGAATTAAGAAAATATTTTTCTATGATTAATATCTGAATTGAGTGCAGTTAGTTTAAGTTTGAAAGCATAACATAATATTTCGAAATTGGGGTCCAATTTACAACATAGAATGATAAGAATTATTTGAATTTGAGATGAGATTTTTTTTATATCATAAATTTTCTATTTTTGAAAATATCATGCAAAGAAATAAAACAGCAAAAATATTATTACAATATTTAGATATAATGTGTTCAAACAATTAGAAAATATTTTTTCTATGATTAAAATAAAATTAAAAATATAAAATTAATTTGTAATATAGGTAATTTTACTAATGATAACTAAAAATTAAATTTGTATCTTAAAGCTAAAAAAGAAAGAAAATTTAACTGCATACAAAATAATTATAAGAGAACTCAATAAATTGGAAAGTAATAATAAAATAACTTATGTATTAATATTTTTGACTACTTAAAAGTTAAAATTTAAAATAAAATATGATATTATTTTGGTTATAGGTAAAATAATAATATAAAAATTAATTAAAATTTATAGTAGGGAAGAGATGTATTAAAAAAATAAAGGTAGTGTTAGGATATTTATACTTTAAATTAAATGAAAAATAATAATTGAATTATATTTAAAAATATTACTGATAAATTGAAATGATTAAAAAATTCTGAATAAGAGGCTACAAGCTTATAAATATACCAAATTTCAAGAATAAAATATTTATATTTATTAAAGACTATTAAAAAGATAATAAGCAAGATATTAATTTACTTATTAAGCTAATAAAAATCATATGATAGTATAATAATATTACATAATAAATAATACAATAACTACAAGAAAAGAACAAAAATAAAAAAGAATTTACGTAAAATGATGTGATAAATAAGACATATTTGACTTTCAGTCAAAAACAAAGTGACAGTAAAAATTTTGTTAAAATAATGTGATATAATATGCTCAAACAAGATAGATCACAACATGACATATTTAGTATTTTTTTTAATATTGACACCGAAACGAAATGCAAGTACTAAAATCAAGGGGTTAGGTTACTACAAATAAAAAAAAGTTGTCTACTATGAGATTTGAATAATAATTTCATATCCTGCTTTATAATTAATATCTAACGTTATATACTTCCTCCGTTCCAATTTATGTGAATCTGTTTGACTGGGCACGGAGTTTAAGAAAAAAATGAAGATTTTTGGAATTTGTGGTCCTAAACAAGCCCAAATGGGGCCCAGAGTATTTGTGTGGTTATAAAAGCTTCTCATTAAAGATAGAGTTGTAAGTTTAAGCTAAATTGCTACCAAATTTAGAAAGAATTCATCCTTTTTGGAACGGACCAAAAAGGAAATAGGTTCACATAAACTGGAATAGAGGGAGTAATTTTTATC